GGGAACTGAAGGTAGGAATCTCCACAGCAGGGAGGGAGAAGGAGCGAGAAGTTACTCTGACCTGGGAAATTCAGGATTTGCAGACTTCTCAGTCCTTGCCCCGCACTCCAGGTCTTTGCAGTGAAGGGGGCATCTGCACTCTTCCAGGCACAGCATGCTTTTTTTTTAAAGATTTTATTTATGGCCTGCGCCGCGGCTCACTAGGCTAATCCTCCGCCTTGCGGCCCCGGCACACCAGGTTCTAGTCCCAGTCGGGGCGCCCGATTCTGTCCTGGTTGCCCTCTTCCAGGCCAGCTCTCTGCTGTGGCCCGGGAGGGCAGTGGAGGATGGCCCAAGTCCTTGGGCCCTGCACCCCATGGGAGACCAGGAAAAGCACCTGGCTCCTGCCATCAGATCAGCGCGGTGCGCCGGCCACAGCAGCCATTGGAGAGTGAACCAACGGCAAAGGAAGACCTTTTTCTCTGTCTCTCTCTCTCACTGTCCACTCTACCTGTCAAAAAAAAAAAGATTTTATTTATTTTCTTGAAAGTCAGAATACAGAGAGGTAGAGGCAGATAAAGAGGGAGAGACTGCAAAGTCTTCCATCCACTCTTTCACTCACCAGATGGCTGCAATGGCCAGAGCTGAGCAGATCTGGAGCCAGGAGCTTCTTCCAGTCTCCCCTGCTGGTGAAGGGACTCAAGGACTTGGGCCACTTTCCACTGCCTTCCCAGACCACAGCAGAGAGCTGGATCAGAAGTGGAGCAGCTGGGACTTGAACTGGCACCCATATGGGATGCTGGCACTGCAGGCGGCAGCTTCATCCCTACGCCACAGCACCGCCCCACATCATACTTTTTTAAATAGCAGGAGAGTCATCACGTGTTCCACTTCCAGAGCCAGCGTGGCTCCCTGCTGCTTCTCTTTCTCATCTGAAGCTCTGTTGAACTGCTGGGATGGCTGTGTTTCTGCAAGCTTTTAGACCCTCCTCCACTGCCTCCTGTCCGTCAAAGGCCGAGGCGTCCCTTCATCCCTCTTGGGTTTGTATTCCTTATGTTCTTGAATTCTGAATTTTCTTTTCCTTTTTCTGTAACTGTCTACCCCCTCCTCCCCAGCTGTGGCTCTGTTAACTTTGTGTAGTGCACACAAACATCTAGAGTAAGTCTTGTTCTGTTTACAGTGATGGACTGCGTATAAAACGACACTCTTGTTAAGAGCGCTGTCAGTATCCGCATTGTGAATGTGCCAGCTCTGGGGCGGAAATTCCACATGGAAAACCTTACGCTACTGAAATATCTCGCATGAAGCAGCGTGCACAAGGATATTTACTCTAATGTTGTATGAAGTAGGGAAAGCAGGGTGATAACCTAAAAGCGCATCAGCAAGGAATGGTTTAGGTTAAGTTACAACAGGATACAATAAAGCAATTAAAAAAGATAATTAAAGATGAATCTTAATGAAGAATGGGATGGGAGAGGGGGTAGGATGTGGGACAGTTTGGGGGTGAGAGGGGCCGGGTATGGGGGGAAGAACCTCTATAATCCTGAAGTTGTACCTATGAAATGTATATTTATTAAATAAAAGCTTTCTATAAAAAAGATAAAAAGTAGGTATTTAGTTGCAAATGTAGAATGAGCCCTACAATTCCTGTGTATTTTTATGTCTTCTAAACTGTGCTATTTACAGAAAATGTACTCCATTTTTGTATAAAGGAAAAAAGTTTTAAAATTCACATTTATACTTGGTAACACATTGAAAACTTATGGGACCATAAATAAAAACTTGTTGGCAGCAGTCACCTATGTGGAGGGGCTCCTGGCAAGAAGGCAATCTGTCTTTTCGTTGTTGATTTCTGTCTTTTGAATTTATACCATAGGAATCATCTCCCTTTTTAATTTTTTTATTGTGTTATTAACAATTTTAGTTATTCTGTGATTTCTTTAAATACATATGTTGTAATTGGTCTTTAATTCATTTCCTAGTGGGAGAGAACAGAAGGCTCTGTCTATGCTAGACTCTTGTGGTAGTTTTTGTCCTGCCCTTTCGTAGTCTCCAGGGGACACTAGTGTCCCTGCCCCGTGCCTTCCCATCACGATTCCTACATGAGATGTTGAAGTCTGCACCAGAGGGAGGAGAGCGCAGCAGGCGTTCAGTTACTACATTTGTTAGAAGAAACACCTGAGTGAACCACCCCGACTCAGAACCCTTCGTACCCCTCGCTGTGTGACAGCCGGCTCTCCTTTTACCTTTGACTCATAGCGTAAAGAGGGTGAAGACCAGAGCCCATCAAGGGTTTAATGTTCACCTGTGAGATGTAGAACAACAGCACCAATAAAGAACTCACGTTCCTGAACACTGCAATGTTATTACAGAATGGGATTCTCTCTAGAGTCAGGACTTCGTATATTATGGCAGATAAATATAATTATATGTGCACTAGTTTACACAGTAGCGTGTACTAATCTAAACTTATAAATAACCAGCCAAAGATGGCAGCGATACTTGAAAATATAAAGTTGTGCTGATCTGCTGTGTGTAAAATGTGATGCTAAACATACTCTTTATTTCCTGATGCTGACATTTTCCTCTTTACTATTAAAATACTTGTTCATGCTTGTATTTATACTTCTTAAAATAAGTACATAACAAAAAATAAAGACGGTTTTCAAGGTGAAAGAGTGTGTGTGGTGTGGTATCTGACACATCTTTGTTAAAGCAGCCACCGTGGACCGCACAGTCCCACTGTAAGATTGTTAGAGCGTACACTTTGCTGAGAGCTTGTTGCAGGTTCGGACGCGGTGCCTTCCTGAGTGTTCTTTCAGGGGCATTAGTCCTGAGGCCCAGACGGACACTGAGGCCGAGCGAGATCCCTTCTCAGAGCTCCTCACTAAATGTGTTTGCAATTGTAGTTAATAATTGAAAACCTCTTATGGTTAGGAATAGTAGTCGTGATTTTGATAGCCTTAGAAAGTGAAATGTAAAGTTGTAACAAGTTTCCCTAGTAGTCTTCATAGTCGGTTAGCTCAGTGCCACTTATTTTAGTGGGAATTGTGTCTCAACTGAAATGTGCGTTTACCATAATTGCAGAGGTCTTTCCCAGCTCCTTTAAAAGGCCACTTGTTTAGCTTTGACGAGAAAATGCAGGGAGTGTGGAAGCCTAGCAGTAAGTGTGGGCTATGCCAGCCTGTTCTGTTTCCTAACTGCTGGTTCCCGTCAGTGATATGTGGGCACTGCCTGTGGAGCGTGTGTGTGTGTGTGTGTGTGTGTGCACACGTGTGTGCGAAGGAGGCTGGGCCTGCTCATTTGTTTGTCCATTGTGAGGCTATTCTGTACCTTTGTGTGTTTTTGTAACAGAGTGGAGGCCCCTGAATGGAGGCCTGTGCCCCACTTGATTTGCAATCTTTGCTGTTAATCTAAAGAAGCCAGCAGGGCCCCCAGCAGGAAGTCCCTGTGATGATGTGCTGAGTGGAAACCTGCAGGCTGGAAGAAATGTGGTTTTGGTGGGGGCTTGGGGCGGGGGCGGGGGGCGTGAGAGCGCCATCATCTTCCAGCCTTTCCTTTTGTCCCCGTGCCGGCCACCAGCTTGAAGAGCTTCTCCCTGCCCTGGGATTGCGCGTGCTCACTCTTCCCTCACCAGGCACAGACCTGGCCAGCTAGCATTGGATTGTCTTAAACAAGCATTTACTGAGTGTGTATTGAACACCACCAGTGAGGTTAAGTGACAGTGGAGACTTGCCTGGGCGGTCGGTGGCGCACTCCTTTATTTCAGGGCCTGCTACAGGCAGGGTCCACCAGTGCTCAAAGCCCTTAAATCTGCTTTGATCAGCCTTTGTACTTTGTGGTACCAGCTATTGGTCAAGTCTCTTGGCTAAGAAACCTTGTCATTTTAATTGTACACTGTGTGAGAAAGGTGGAGCTGTAGAAGCTTTTTATTGGGTTCAACTAATATTAATTTCTTAAATGATATTTTAGAGATTTAAAGGAGAAATGGAATTTTAGTGTAATGTTTCCTTAGAGCCAACATGTATTTGCACTGAGAGAGGGGGAAAAAGAGAGAATTCTATTTTAAAGCAATACTTTTTTTTTTTTCAGTTGGAAACTGGTTTTTCAACTTCCAGTGCCAGCTGAGATGTACTGTGATAAGTAGTTAGCATTCTGTCCTGTGAATGATGGCTGAGGGTTTAGTAGCAGAGCAAGCACGGTGAAGCAGCCAGGAATATGGTGTGCAGTAATGCAGGGAGGAGTGGTATTGGATTATGTAATATCATTTCAACACAGGACTGAAACCTGCCTCTCTCTCCTGAAAACATGTTCTGTGAGATGCCAGGAAAGGCCAGTCAGTGGCACGATTCTCCTCCCTCAGCAGGGTTTTGGGTCTGTTTTGTTCCCACTGTTGTTTTCTTTATTGTGTTCCCTGAAAACTGTGCTGCATGAGCATATGGAGCGCTGTACATGAGTGTTTATTGCTTTTGTAGAAACCCCAGGACACTGTGAGTTTAATAACAATTTATGCTGTTTTGTGAGCAATTGACAGTACATATTAAGATCAAGTTGATAATAAAGTTTTCATTAATGGCTTAAATTTTTTGAGGTAATATTAAAGGCAATTAGATCAAAGTCAAAAGTAAAGAGTACAACTGATACCACAAGGAAGAAAATGAGCTTTTGGTTTGTTCTGGTGGAGGTGGCCTGTTTGCCACTGACCTCTCGTCTCTCTCTCCGTGATTAGACATCTTGCAGAATTCAGATTGAATGCCTCGTCTGTATAATCTCAAGAAATAAGTTTGTTCATCTCATATGTAAATATGTTTATATGTATCTGTATTTCTGCTGTTGGTGATTAACTTGTATGTGTGTGTTGGATTAAGTGTTAAAGAAATGGCCATAACATATTTATATGTCTGCTAAAATGTGACATTAATCAATATTTTGTAATAAGCCTTTGCTTCACTTTGGTTCCTAAAGAAGCTTAAAACTCATTGAGATACTTAGGAAGTGCTCTGCATTTTGTATTTGTTTAGGACATGTCTCAGGAAGGCTATGGAACCAGGTCTCAACCTGCTCTGGCCCCTGGAAAACCTAACCACGAAGACTTGAATCTAATACAACAAGAAAGACCATCAAGCTTACCAGTAAGACATTAATATGCTAATTTGGAAATGTAAAGAGTTAAACATTTTAAAAAAGAGCTGTTGTTTTTGTTCTGTTTTATATTACAACACTGGAGAGAAGTTTCTAGATTTCAGATCTGTGTGGGTGTGGTTTTTTTTTTTTTTTTTTTTGGAAAGACTTAGAGCTTAATTCCTAGGGGCTTTGTAGTCCTAGGTGAGTCTGTTTGGTGCAGAGTCTGGACGCCAGTTGGAAGGTTTTATTTGGTTGGTTGTGTGCAGACAGGTACTACTGTTGTACAAGTGAGCTTTCTTTAGCTTGGTGCCTTTTGGTGAGGATACAGAACAGGTGTCCATACAAGGGTTGAAACCTAAAGAAATTCTCACTTTGCTGAGGATATAAATGATGAGGTAAACATCTGATAGTAGTTTGAATTTCTTGTGCAACTTTATATGTATGTAATGGAAAATCACCCAAAAGAAAGTATTTTAAAATTTGATAAAGCAGCTTGTAACGTATTTCTATTAATGCCTAGTGTATGGTATTGAGTATGTTGATAAGGGTTGTGGCTATAGTGTGAAGCATCAATGTTGGTGCCATGCATAATTTATCTATACTTAATACAGGTAAATTTTTTAAGAGGAATCTAATTTAACTGAAATTGGTTTTATTAATTAAAAGAGTAGGTGTGCTTAAGTAAATATTTTTATATTTACTTTCTTGTTAAAAAGTTTCCTTTTGAAGAATTATTGTTCTTGCTAAATCACTATTAGGAAGGTTTAAGGTGGGAGTTCAGGATAGCCATAATGTTAACTTGAATTTCAACTATGTTTGCGTTGAATAAGATTTATGGCATTATTGTAATGTAAACATGTGAGAATGAGCATTTGTAGTGGATGTTACACGTGACATTTGGCTTGAGAAGAAGGTAAGTGATGGCCACAGGATGTCCACTATCTTTCAATCTGATGTATGTTTTTGAAGCTCTAAATCTTACAGCTTTTATTTCTATGGTAGGAGTGGGTTTTATCTATTACTTTTGTGAAGTTGTGTTGGAGTATTTATTGTCCAGTTATTCGGTTTTTGAAAGAAAGAAAAAAGAAATTAACTCCACGTGAGCTGTGAGCGTCTTTCTTTAATGGCTAATCCACGGCTCGCTGAGCACGCTGTGTGTGAGACATACACGTGCGCTGTTGTAAATGCAACATCTGCCAGGTTATTTGGAACCTGGATTGCAGTTCAATGAAATTTATATCAACCTGTGCCAGTGGATGTGGACAGTGAATTCCACTTTTCCCCCCACTATATGAGTGCTTTGAGAGAACCGTGGGGGTGCAGGTTTGCCAGTGGCTGCTGATTCGTACTGTGACACAGTTTGGAGATTTTGTTAGATGGATACTGACCTCCTGCTTAGCCACAGAGTCGTCTTCAGGCACTGAGAACTCCAGCTTCTTCACTAGGGGTGCTTCTTGTCAAGGCTTTGCGCTGAAACTCTGCAGCGCAGTAGGGTTGCAGCCGGGCCGTAGACTCAGACAACTGTGGGAGAGCTCTGCTCTGGGATGGGTGCTGTTGAAGCTGCTACTTCGAAATGAGAACGAATTTCTTCTGAACTGTTGTATGTATATCCCTTTGTAGTTGATGGTACACTGTAATGATTACCTTGCCAACTTCCTGGGAGTATTTAAGGTTGCTCATGGTATAACTTTTCTTACAAAGATCTTCAAAAAGAGAAATACTGTAGTTGATATTTGCTTCTCATTTTGGTTACTCAAAAATAAACAGGATGCACTTACAGCACATTTCAGTAATCCTTTGAGAGCAAAGTTTCTGTGTTTCATGTAGAAGTCTCAGGTACAGACTCTGAGACAAAGCATAGATGGGCTGGTATTCCTAAAACCCCGTGTCTATTAGGATGAACACTGACTTGCTTCTAGGAAGTTTAGTGTGCTGCTCTTCTTTTACCAGAATTCTGCACGTGTAATACGTTTCTAAATTAGCTTTGTAAATATGTTTTGATTTACGTGGATGCTTCTTCCGTAAGTCACTGTGTTAGCCAGCTGATGTTGTGTTGCTTAGAAAGCTGCAGGGAGCTCCTTGGGGGAGGGAAGGGGTTGATTTCAGCTGACAGTTGTGGAGGTTCACAGTCAGAGACAGGGCAGCCTCCTCCGTGCAGGAATCTGGTGAGGATGAAAGGGGTGGTCACAGGGCGGGTCTGGGAGCCAGGCCTAAGGAGCTCCCTTCCTCTGCCCTCTGGGTGACCTCTCCTTATGAGGCCATCGTGATTCATTACGGGGCTCCACCCTAGCAACGAGTCCAATCCAGTGGCTTCCCAGAGACCCCGCCTTCGGATTCTGAAATTGGATTAAGCCTCCACCCTGAACTGTCAATCCTTTAACAGTTAACATAAGACTTTGGAGTTTAACCATCAGCATGAGTTTGGGGCACTAAATGCTGTTCAGGCTGTTAGACACAGTCAAGGTTAATTATGGCTTCAGGAAACAATTTGTTGACTTTTTGATATGACTCTAATATTGTGATTTTTCAGAGTTAATGTTCATTGATATTGTAGTCCTCTAACTCGGCTAGTTGACACTGTAGGAACTTCTGAAAGTGTGTTTGTTACAATGTCCAACTTTGCTTTTGGGTCCTTTACATGTTTACTCTTAGGCTGTACTTTTCAAGTGTTAGTAACAGAAAACTTGCCTCATTGCTTAAGGACAATCCATGTTATTAATAATTTCTAGTTTTGTAATTTAGAGCTGGAATAAATTATGAGTCTCATCTGTACCTTTAAAAACAGTAGTGTGGTGCAGTGGAGGATGGCCCAGGCGCTTGGGCCCTGCACCCCATGGGAGACCAGGAAAAGCACCTGGCTCCTGGCTCCTGCCATCGGATCAGCGCGGTGCGCCGGCCGCGGCGGCCATTGGAGGGTGAACCAACGGCAAAGGAAGACCTTTCTCTCTGTCTCTCTCTCTCACTCTCTCACTGTCCACTCTGCCTGTCCAAAAAAAAAAAAAAAAAAGAATAAATTTATTAAAAAAAAAACAGTAGTGTGGTAATTCCTATGTATAATTATTAATTTATCTAATATTTATGTGACTAACAGGAATGCTTCTAAAGTAGTTATTTCTTCGTCATTTTGATTGCTTTGAGATAGATTTTGTACTGTTTTCTGTGTCATTGTATTTTTCTTTAGCATATTTGTTATGCAGCTAAGAGCTTTCCATTGTAAGGCATCCAGGCATTTTCAGTGTTTATTTTCTAGGTCAGTAATCTGATCCCTCAGAAAGTTGTCCTCTTACTTTGTTTGAACCAGTATTATTTGTCTATATTTGCATGTCATTAAATTCGGGGTGGCCTCTAGTAACTAATGACAGTTACTTTTTCCAGCTGGTTTAGAACTTCAAGTCATCCATAGAAAGCATGTGGCTGATAAATTAATGTTTGTTCTCTTGTCTTGGGACCATAACCAGTAATATTTACTTTTCTTTAATGGACTCAGACTTAATCTCAGAACAAATCCCCCATAATAGTGTCCATTTATTTCTATGCCTCTTAATCATATAGCTTCTTTTTTTTAAAGGTTTATTATTTGAAAGTCAAAGTTACAGGGAGAGAGGGAGAGACAGAGATGTCTCTCATCTGCTGGTTCACTCTCCAGATGGCCTCAGTGGGCAGGGTAGAAGCTAGGTGCTTCACCCGGGTCTCCCACACTGGAGGCAAGGGCCCAAGCCCTTGGCCCATCTAGCCTTGCTTTTCCTAGGGCATTAGTAGGGAGCTGGATTGGAAGTGGACACAAACCGGTGCCCATATGGGATGCCTGTGTCACAGGTGGTAGCTTTAGCCGTTACGCCATAGTGCCTGCCCCCTACAGCCTTTACTCTTGAGATACATGAGTTTTTATGTCCTTGATATTACTATTCTTGATAAATCTTAGTGTATGGCATGTTATATAAAAATTTAGCTTGAAGAGTTCCCCCTATCAGAACATTATCACTTCAACTTTAAACGCATTTTATAGTTTTCACTACCTAAGATATTGATATGAATGACTTACTTTCAAACAAAAGACAGTGAAAGATCTAAAAGACATTGCTACTTTATTCATTTCTTTCATAAACACTGACTATATTTCAATTTACATTCTGAGTTAAACCCCCCCTGAAATAAGATTTAATACACTTTTTGTCGAGTAAGTTTTGTTAAATTTTCATCTCTTGTGGTATCTACTATTCATCTTTTTTTCCAGTTGTTTTTGTAATGATCTAAGATAGAATCTTTTCATGATATTTATCATGCTTTATTCAATAAGTATTTTCCCAAAATGATTTACATTTAAAACCTGTTTGTAAATAAGTTCTCCCAGTTCCAGAATTTCCTTTTAATCGTTAAGAAATATTCATGGTGATAAACTGGCATCAGGACAGCTTGTGTTCTCCATATGCTAAGAGTGCCCAGTTAAAGAACATGGTGCTTATATTGGCTTTGTGGTGTTATTCTTAAAACCAGTTTGCTTTATCAAATGGCATTTTAGTTTTAACTTTGGTAACCTTAAGATTCAAGAAAAGAAGTGGGCAAGGGGCCAGTGTTGTTGTATAGTGGGTTAAGCCACTGCCTGTGATGCTGGTATCCCATGTGGGCAGCCTTCGGTCCCAGCTGTCCACTTTTTGTCCAGCTCTCTGCTGATGGCCAAGGAAAGCACTGGAGGATAGCTCAAGCGCTTGGGCCCCTGTATCCATGTAAGAGACCCGAACGAAGCTCCTGGCTCCTGGCTCCTGGCTTTGGATCGGCTCAGCTCCAGCCGTTGCAGCCATTTGGGGAATGAACCAGTGGATGGAAGATCAATCTCTCTTTCTCTCTCTGTCTCTCCCTCTCTCTCTAACTCAAATAAACAAACAAATCTTTAAAAAGTGAGCAATTTGGATAATTAAGCTAAAGTAGAATGAAAATATTCTTTTCTTAGTCTTTCTTTTTTAAAAAAGATTTATTTATTTGAAAGGCAAAGTTAGAGAGACAGGAAGAG